GAGTGGGACACATCACGTAGCGGCCCATCGCCTGCGGGGGATGGACCTCGGCCGAGGTCACCATGGCCTTCAGCAGCTGGCTCTCTTTGGCCAGGGATTCCTCGGGGCCCAAGCCTCCGACGGCCCCCAGCTCCGCCTCGGCGGGAGCCACCCCGTCATCCATGTTGACGTAGAGGATCTCCTCGGGGTCTTTGGGCGGTGGGAGAGACTTGAGGGTCCTCTCCAGCTCCTGAGAGAGGATTTCAAAAGTGGGACGGTCGCGGGGGGTCAGCGCCCAACAGCTCATCATCAGCTCATACCTTGGTGGGGGGGATAAAAAGATGATGAAGAAGTTGTTTCTAGAGCAGACATGTCAAACACAAGGCCCGGGGGCCGGATGCGGCCTGCGAAGTGGTTTCATGTGGCCCGCGAAGCCATCCTGGAAACAGTGAGGGAACGGACCCCGCTGCCTTGGCCCTGGCCCAGGCCGGCCAGGAGCCAATGTACAATTTTGTTGTGGGCATCCATGCTGAAACGCATTCAGTCTTAGCTCCACAAGGCCGTCTGTAAACAGCGAGGAACCAGCCCCTGCCGTGTCGCCCCCGCCCCCTGGTGCATGCTGGGGAGGTGTCACCCTTTGTGAGGAAGGAAGAAATGCACCATGCCTTGGCGCTTGCCCCGGTCCCACCCCCCTTCTGCCAGAGACCCTCAGATCTGTCCCACTCCTGCCCAGGCCCCCACAGGCACCCTTGACGCGAACGATGTAGAGCTGGCCATGCCCACCCAGTAGGTCGCACCCACCCGGCTCCCCCCGAGGGCAACTGCAAGGCTGAATGCGGCCCTCAATGAAATTGAGTTTGACACCCCTGTTCTAGAGAATAGATCCTTCTGAGACTCTACAGCAGGGGTCTCCGAACGTGGCAACTTTTAAGATTTGTGGACTTCAAAATAGAGAGCCAACCCCACTCCCTTCGCTGATGAGGTTACCTAGTAGGTCATGAAACGTCTGCGGGAAAATAACCGAGTTCAAAGGCCACCAAAGACGCCGCGAATGTTCTTCTTTCCCTTGACTCCCATATTTTGGCCAAACTTACTCAGGGTAAGGAAATGGGAACTCCTATAGTATTTTCTGACGAAAAGGGGAAACTGAGGCGGAAGTACTCACAGACTATCCAGGCAGTCAATTGGCTGCTTGAGGCGGTTGCCTTGACGTAGGTAGTCGTAGATTTCACTGTTTTCCACCCCCGGATAAGGCGTCTGGCCTCGTGTGGCGATTTCCCACATGGTGACTCCAAAGGACCACTGCAGGGGGGAGGTTAGAGGAAAGAAGGTGAGGCAGGCAGAAGAAAAGTGTAGCCCAGGTGGAGTGCAGACCCTCCCCCCGGGAGGCCCCAAAGATGGAGGTTGGTTTCCAGCGGGAACGAAAAGTCAGCCCGATTTATTGGCTGGCGAGAGGAAAAGGGAGACATCGGCTCACCACGTCGCTCTTGGTGGTGTAAACGCGGTCTGCCAGGCTCTCGATGGCAATCCATTTCACCGGCATCTTGGAGATACGGCCTTGGCGGTAATAATCCCCGTTGTAGATCTTCTTAGAGAGGCCGAAATCGGCCACGCAGGCTGTCATGCTTTCGTTCAGCCTGTGGAGGGAACGCGAAAGGAAAGGCTTTACGGGTGAGGACAGGGTGGGTGACAGTCTAACAGGGCAGAGGGAATGGCCTTGAGGGACAGGAAGGAGAGCGAGACATTGCTCAGATAAAAGAAATCTGAGCCCGGGTCAGAAACGTAATCCGAGGAAGCATCAGACAAGGGCATGGCTGGTTCTCATGGAGATAAAAGGAGGAAACACATTCAGACTTTCAAGGTTCCGAACCAGATGGGCCTAGTGGTGAAGGCACCAGGCAAGAAACCGGGAGGCTGTGAATTCTAGTCCCACCTTAGCCATGAAAGCCAGCTGGGTGATCTTGAGCCAATCACCAGGACATTGTAAGTTCTAGTCCTGCTTTAGGCAAAATAGCCGGCTGGATGACTGGGCCACTACCAGATGCTGAGAGTTCTAGTCCCATCTTAGGCATGAAAGCCGGCTAGGTGACTTTGGGCCCATCACCAGGAGACGGTGAGTTCTAGTCCTGGTTTAGGCATGAAAACCCATTGGGTACCTTTGGGCCAATCACTAGGAGACGGTGAGTTCTAGTCCTGGTTTAGGCATGAAAACCAATTGGGTACCTTTGGGCCCATCACCAGGAGATGGTGAGTTCTAGTCCTGGTTTAGGCATGAAAACCCATTGGGTACCTTTGGGCCCATCACCAGGAGACGGTGAGTTCTAGTCCTGGTTTAGGCATGAAAACC